CAAGTCATTTTCACCTTCATGGCATATGTTGCTCACACACATGTACCTATAGACTAATCACCTGTGTATCTCACATAAACACAATTAGTCCACCTAAGTTGTCACTCAATTATCAAAACTACACAAGGACTTTTCAGAAGGGATGTAATCAAAACTGTCAAACCGTCTAGGGGCAAATTTTCGGATTAAAGAAATATCAATATGCTCCTTCTTTGTCTCTTGCAGTCATATTACTGAGCAGGCACTCTCCTCTATGATAGGGCTGTTTTTAGCTACCAGTTGTTAGAGTTTTGGTGTGGTTTTGGGAACTGTTCCTATTCCATCTATTATATAAATCGAGCGTTTACAGGGGCAAGCTTGTAGCGACCCATTTACATCCATCATTAGGGTTGTTTTTATGCAAACCATCACTAAAAATGGGGGCATTTCTAGTGGTAGTTTTTTTAGGGGATTTCTAGTGGTAGTTTGCTTAATGAAATCGTCACTAGGAACCTATTTTCAACGGTAGTGCATATGGTTGGGGCTACCTTAGTACATTTAGTGGTGCAGCTCAATTAAACCATCTCTAAGAAAAATATGCGCGCTTCTATAAAAATTATTTGTAATAGTATTGTGCATTTGTGCTATCAGATCTAGCTCTGTTTTGCAAGTTTTCTGCCAGCCAAAGCTGTATTTTTGCTTTATTTCTAATCTTCCTTTTCTTTTTAGACAAAAAAAGGTTTTCCTGCTTTATTTCACGCTAAACCAAATGGCGGCCCCGTTCGGCTTGCTGAAACTTGGCTGAAACTTGCTGAGAAACACTGTTCTGGTTGAATTATTGTGAGAGAAAAACACTGTTCTGGCTGAAAAAAGAAGCCGAACAAGCCGGTTTTAAGGTAAGCCGAACGGGGCCTATCCATTTGGTTTAGCGTATTTGAAGATGTGCCTGCCAACTGATTACATTCCAAGACGAGTACTATCTGAGTTTTTCCGGTAACTCCTAATGGAAAACAAATGATGCTACCGTCAAGCTACAATAGAAACCTTGTGATTCTTCTCCGATACAGAGATGCGGTTGATAGAAAGAATATGCATCATCAAGGACTGTGATTCAACGAAACTAATCTGGACAATAACAAGATTCAGTCAGTTGTATCCCCCTTTAAAATTTACTCATGAAACCTACACTTTTGCCTTGCTGGAGCAAATTAACCACGTGCACGTGAGATTAGTTTAGCAACTTTGAAGAGAATAAAGTTTAGCAACTTTGAAGAGAATAAGGAGAGGAGCACCTTCTTTAGGTATTAAGAAGAAGTCAACATATTCTTAATATAATAATAGCTGGAAGCATGAATGAAGGTTAAATTTATTAGTGTGAAGTGACCGTGACACCTATGTAAGAGGGAGATGAACTAGACCACTTAAAAACTAAGTAAAAAAACAACTTATAAAAACCTACACAACTTTGGGCGGGCCCTTGCTCAGGCTTTTCCAGTTTGAAGCTCACCGAGGGTGTTACCCAACCAAGAAGTAGTGAAGAAGTGCCTCACGTCCTCATACGGACATTTGGCCGGCCCACTAGCTGTGATCAAGAAAACCCTTCATCGCCATCCTGGATGCGACCCAGGAGATCATGAAGGGCTCAAGGGCTCATGACAAGAGTCAAATATAGAGGTATGTTAAACCATTGGATTGAAGGCATGACCGTCCGGCTAACCCCTCGACTGATTTTCCTAATCAGGCGGGGACTCAGGGGCTTGGGGGCTACACCTATCGGGTGTACTCGTGTGCACCCTCTGGCAAACGGGCCGGGATGAATCGGCAGGCCACAAATGGCCCTGTCCTAAGGAAATCCCCGGTGTCAATAGAGCAAGTTGAGGAAGTTCCCATTCGGGCCGCCTTTGCTCGGGGGCTTGGGGCCACGGCCAAGGAAGCGGACCCAAGGGCACGCCAAACAAGCAAATGCCCCCATAGTCGACCCAACCTTGGTTCAGGTTGAGCGTTCACACCGAGCAATGTCGGGAACCAGCCCCGAAATCTGTTTAGGCACCCAATGCCTGACAGGCGCAAAACAGCAGAGGTGTCAGGCCACCAACCCATTCCATAGCCGCGAGGCGTTGTCGGCCACTCCCTCAGTAGGGTCACGCCCATCGCATGACGCGTTAGGACAAGGAACTCCCCAAGCCCGCATAGTGGGGGGCTCCGAGCCCACACGGCAGCCCCCTCCAGGCAAGGGGAGAAGCCTGGTGTGCCTAGGAAGCCAGGAGAAGGCCACGTAGGGAAGGCAACACTCCAGCAGAGAGCACCAGGCTACAGCCATGGTGTCAGAGGGTGGTTGTGATTTTGTCGGTCCCCAGCTACAATACAAAAGGAGGATTGAGGGCGCCAAGAAGAAGAAGGCCGAAGCATAGGGCGAGAAATCCTAGGAGAAACCATTTGCTTTGTACCCTGATCATCTCCCCGGTATATAAAAGGGAAGGCATAGGCTCCTGTAGAAGGAATTGGACCCAATGAGACTAGGGATCAAACCATTAGACAACCAGTCGGACCTCTAGCGAGGAGAACGAACCCTAGATTAGCATAGCGCTTCCCGACCTACACCTATTTCTCTCTCTCTTTCTCTTGATTCCTCCATTGTAAGAACTCTCGATTGAGCATTATTCCTAACATGAAGAACACTACTGCTGGACGTAGGGCTCAGAGGCCCGAACCAAGATAAACTCTTTGTGTTTTTAGTGGTTAATCCATTGGACGTACACACATCGACCCACGTTGAAAAACCTGATTACTGCCGCAGTTACAAACCTACGACAACTGATTAATGAAAAAGCCTAATGTTCTACCTTTCACCTTGAGCTAACCATCATGTTTTTCATCTTATCCACCATGACATCCAACATTGCATAATTCTCATTTGGCACTAATTTTTCTTCATATCTCAAATGTCATTAACTACCAAAACCCAAATTAGAAACCTAGATGCTTTGAAATATGGAAACAAATCCACAAATCAATTAACCTGAATCATGTGCCTTCCAGGTGTTCCCGCAACAGTCATGTTAGAATTCGAATCTACTCCAACAAAACTCCATCTTGAGACAAATTTCATCTTTCAGCTAATGAAGCATTATCAATCAACTTACTTCAACAAAGAAAGTAATCACTGGTGCAAAAAGTAACTACGACTTAAACTATAACACCAACTAACTTAGCTGCAAAAACAGACTTTGTCAACATATAAACAGTACTGTCATGAGTTCTTATCTTGCATACCTTAATATCACCTTCAACAATGACACGTTGAATAAAATGATATATCACATCAATATACTTGGTTCTTTCATGAAACATCTGATCTTTAGAATGAAAAATAACACTATGACTATCGCAATGTATAGTAATATAATGCAACAAATCACCCTGCAAAATTCAGAGTATAAACCTCTCAATCAAACAGCTTGCTTACAATCTTTAGAAATAGCCTATACTCAACTTCTGTTGTAGACAAAGCAATAGTAGCATGCAAACATGCTTTATAACTAATAACATAACCACCAATGTTAACAACATAACTCTTAAGACATCTCCTCTTACCTAAATCATTAACATGGTCATTATCATCATATCCAACAAGCACATCTTTAGATTTCCCGAACTGGAAACATGCATTAGAAACACCACACAAATTTCAAAAAATGCGCAATGAACAACCCACCAATTCTCTTTATAAATATTAGCTATAAATCTAATAATCGATTGATAACACTCAATACATGAGATAAATCAAGACAAACACTAAAATATGGAACTCTAAACATATACTCCACATCATGATCAGACTCTAGACATAAATGTGAAGATAATATGATATGTGTAGCTAATGGAGTACTCATGGTTAGTTCAAGGCAACCACCCATTAAAACGGATTGTAGAGGCGGTTGGCTTAACAGAGCCACCCCTAAAATTGTATTTCTAGGGGCTGTTGTACGTTTGCTTCTACAAATGTCACATCTTTACAATCAATGGCATAGATAGTTTAGAAAACCGACCATCGAAATTATTTTTGAACTTGCCTGAAAATCAATTCTACAGTAGCATTTGAATCTAGAAAAAAATTACTATTGTGTTCTCTTCCATATATATCTGTTCGTATCCAGTCAATTTTATTCCTATTGTTAACAAAATCCAATAACATATGTATCCCAATGGCCTTAGGAATCAGGTCTCCTAAAACCACGGTGCAAAGTAAAGAGAAAACATGAAAGATAAGCCACAGAAAATATATGAAAGCAAAACAAAATATGTGGCAATCGACTGAGCAGCAGCCTGATAGATATATATATGCTGGTTGATCTATCCAATTTGGAATTCCCGGCATGTTGCATTAGTTGTGAAACCAAGCCGGTCGATGGAAGAAAAATGGGCATCATCTCGAACCATCAACGATATTGCTAGCCTGTCGTGCATTTATGTTGAATCAATGTTGCCTTCAGAGCGCCCAAAGAAACTAAGCGTTGACAATAGGAGGTGTATGGGTCATGTTTTGAAAGTGAAAATATCAAATTCATAGACTGAGTGAGGCTGACTTTATGAATGGTTATCTAAGATATAGAAAAGCAAGGGCTGCAATGGGTCCAAGCTCTTTATGAAGCACACATTTCGTTTGTTCTTTTTTTCACCTTTTTGCTTTATTTGTGTACTATAAAGTAGAATGAAATTTGTATTTAATTTTATTTTGCGTATTGCAACAATGGGTTCTGTCAGTCAGCTGCACCCAAAACCAACGAACATACATACATAATAATGAACATATAGCAAAAAGTCTCGAGTGCATAATCACATGTACAAGGAACAAATACTAAACTGCATTGAAATCATGTAATCAGCATTACATAAAAAATGACGCAAAGCAAAGGATAGGTACAACAAGTAGCAGCTAGCACCTACAAAATGCATGCTGCAACTTCGGCCCCATGGGACGTTTTATTCAGATACTACTATAATGGCTAGTGGACACTTCATCAGTTGTCAGCTGCCGGTGGGATGTGCGGCGGGTCAGGCTTTGGTTTTGGCTCAGGCTCTGGTTTTGGTTCAGGCTTAGGCTCCGGCTTCGGTTGGGGCTCTGGCTTTGGTTCTGGCTTAGGTTCTGGTTTCGGTTTAGGCTCTGGCTTCGGTTCGGGCTTAGGCTCCAGCTTCGGTTCAGGCTTTGGCTCTGGTTTGGGTTTCGGTTCAGGCTTGGGCTCGGGCTTTGGTTTAGGCTTAGGCTCCGGTTTCGGTTCAGGCTTTGGCTCTGGTTTGGGTTTCGGTTCAGGCTTGGGCTCGGGCTTCGGTTCAGGCTTAGGCTCTGGTTTCGGTTCAGGCTTTGGCTCTGGTTTGGGTTTTGGTTCAGGCTTGGGCTCGGGCTTCGGTTCAGGCTTTGGCTCTGGTTTGGGTTTTGGTTCAGGCTTGGGCTTTGGTTCAGGCTTAGGCTCCGGTTTTGGTTCAGGCTTTGGCTCTGGTTTGGGTTTTGGTTCAGGCTTGGGCTCGGGCTTCGGTTCAGGCTTAGGCTCCGGTTTCGGTTCAGGCTTAGGCTCTGGTTTGGGTTTCGGTTCAGGCTTAGGCTCTGGTTTGGGTTTTGGTTCAGGCTTGGGCTCGGGCTTCGGTTCAGGCTTAGGCTCTGGTTTTGGTTCAGGCTTTGGCAGTGGTTCGGGTTTTGGTTCCGGCTTGGGCTCAGGCTTAGGCTCGGGTTTTGGCAACGGTTCGGGTTTTGGTTCCGGCTTGGGCTCAGGCTTAGGCTCAGGTTTCGGTTCCGGTTTGGGCTCAGGCTTAGGCTCAGGTTTCGGTTCCGGTTTGGGCTCAGGCTTAGGCTCTGGTTTCGGCACTGGTTCAGGTTTTGGTTCAGGTTTGGGCTCAGGCTTCTCCGGCTTGGGCTTTGGTTCAGGCTTAGGCTTGGGCACCGGTTCTGGTTTGGGCTTTGGCTCTGGTTTGGGCGTGGGCTTAGGGTGTGGCTCAGGTTTAGGTTCAGGTTTTGGCAAAGGCTCAGGTTTAGGCTCTGGACGTGGCGTGGGCTCCGGTTTAGGTTCAGGTTTGGGTTCTGGCTGGGGCAGGGGCTGCGGCTGAGGTTCCGGCTTAGGTTCAGGTTTGGGTTGTGGCTCCGGCTGCGGCAGCTCGGCGGCAGCACGTCCGCCATGCTTGCGTGCGAAACGGGTGCCGTGGCCAAGCCCGACGCCTGCAGCCGCCGCGTCGTCGAAGAAAGCGGTGGCAGCGGCCACTGCTCCCAGAAGCACGGCGAGGAGAAGGCAGCACGAAGAGAGGCGACGCGTCGCCGCCATGGCTGCTGCTCCTGCAAAGAAGTTCGCCGCCTGCTAGCTCTCTGCTCTGTGTTGCTCTCTGCCTCTCTCTCTGTTTCTCTAGAGCAGCTGTTGGTAGTGCCCGGGCGAGTAGTCTCTGTTGTGTGTGTGTGGATGACGGGGTGTGGTCATGGGTCGGATTTATAGCGCGCGGGAGCCAAGCAGCTTCGGACGCGTGGATCGCTGTCTGCCCAGCTAACTAGCTGCTTTACACCGTCTTAAAAAAATGGCTGCTTTACACGTATCAACGGGTAGGTAGCAGCTAAGCCCGTGTTTATTGCTATTCAACGGATAGCAGTAGCACGTATCTTTCACTTTTAGTTTCTCACGGACTCTTCCATCCATTTCTTGTTCCAACACATATACGCTGCTGCCTGACAGGTAGGTTTGTTAACTTTTGATGATACACGGGACGGGTAGCAGGTAGTATTTAGCTTGTGTTTGACGACGCATGCTGCCGCTGTTGACCAAATGACCAGCGAGCGAGCTATTTACTGGAGTATGTGTATGAAGATTCATCCCCTGCAGGCCAGTCAGTTGTTATTATCTGTGTACATCTTGTAAGTTTCCTCCTCCATGCTTTGACAGGCAGCAAAGATATTTTGTGTGGACGATGGATGACCAGGCTAGCAATTGTCATCTTCATCTGTCGCGCTGCTGCTGCATGCACATGGTCCTGGATGGAGCTCAGATCATCATCCTATAGCTAGCTAGTCCTATATGGGGAGCTGCTAGGTGTGCCATGCATGCATTTCTGGCGGGCACTCGGCTCGTGAAGCTCAGATCAGGATCGCCAAAGGGAGAGGACAGACGACGGCACTGTGAGACACATGATCGATGATATGCATGGTTGCATTGCAGGCCGGTACGGTGCAGCACATCAGACTGTGTGTTGCGGCTGTGCTGGCCGGAGAAGATGAGAGTGACGACGCTAAAGATGCGTACCGCGCTTTACGAACGTCGTAGAGCTTTTGATTTCCTGCGTGACCGACACGGCAGTGTCTACATCTTGCTTTGCCTGCAGGTCCAGGGTGATGGAGTCCAGATTCATTGACGAACGGTCTGGGACGGAGGTGTAGGTTCGGCAGTGTATGGCTGTGCAAGCACAGTCGGGGATGAACGATACATGATGGAGTGTGGTGGCGACCCGACTGTGTTGAGGCGTCAGGCTCAGTCATCAGCTAGCGAACGCGCCGTGGCGGGGTCGGAGTCGGAGGCGTACGGTACGGCATGCCGGAGTGGTGCACTCGTCCCTTGTTCCAACGGCGATGTCCTTTTCTGCTTGGATGTTTCCTCATCCTCTCCTGCCACCGACCCGACATTGTTGACACTGACGTCCCAACCACTGGCCTTGTGCCCGTGCTAACATGCATCCACAATTTCCAGTACCAATCTCTCGTACCAAGCTAATATCTCGTCTCTTTAAGAGACACTGTTGTGCATTTACTCTTAGCCTCTTAGGTTGTCCCTTAATGCTGCCCATTTTTTGTTTTCCAAATAAAAACGAAGCTTCTACACTTGCACACTACTCCCTCTCGTCGAGGTTCAAAGTTACAATTGCGTTTTTTTAACGGAGTGAGTACTCTTTTTTTAGGCAAAGTCAAGAGCTTTATTCATTATACGCGGGAATACTGCCTTTGGTCGCCACCCCCCTCAACCAATGTGTAGGGTGATCTGTCCAGTTACGCATACTAGAGGAAACAAAGAGCATACACGCACAGCAGTGAGCTACATTATTTGCATTGCCCCTTGCTTCACAAGAGAAATTTGAAAACAAATGAAGGACCTGCTTAGCTCTTGAACTTCAAGCGAAGACGTACAATTGGAGAGTTGCCACCCGTTTTTGCTTGAAGTAGACTCGCCAACTCCGTTATAAAAAATACGATTTCAGTTCTTGGGAAGTTAAACAAATTTAAGTTTGATTAAATATATATAAAAAATATAAGGCAAATTTTACCTGTTAACATCATTCAATCACGAAATTAGCCAATACACACTGCTAATCCGATAATTTACCCAGTATCATTATAAAATGGTGATTCTTTGTCAGGGGCAAAACCATCTACTCATTGTCCTTTCTCTCTCCCAACGGTTGAGATGAATATTTTAATACGTTCGGTATCCAGAGTCAAAGAATCACAATATTATAATGGTAGTATGGCACTAGGCAAATTATCGGATTAGGGGTGTGTATCGGCTAATTTCACGATTGAACGGTGTCCATGAGCAAAATTTATCAAACTATCCACTACTAGAAAAAGTATTTGTAGCATGTTGGTATTTCTTAGTGCAATCACCAAGTGTGGAGGTTTTAAGTCCATCGTCGGCAATGACGCAAGAAATGTCTGTTGGTATTTCTTAGCACCATCACTACGATTGAGTTAACCTTAGCAACACTACCAAAAAACATCAACTATGATAGTTCTTAACGATTACAGAAAATATCTGCAAGCGCACGGATCTATCGTTGTAGCATTTCACCTGGAAGTATTCAGGGCATCGTTATTTATATTTTCCCAAAGGAGGGTAAGGTGTAAGAGTCTAGCATGAGTATGAACAAGATTACATGCTTGCACTAGTAAACCAATAGTTCATGATAGGGGTAAAAACAGTATTTCAAGGATAGTAGATATACATCTGGGCCAACCTCAAGGATAAAAGAAAAACAAAAAATAAAAGAATGTTTCTACGTGGAGCCGACATGTTCTAATATAGCCGTGCAAAGAACAGTTAATGATCATACAAGTTATATGACTAGAGTTAGAACTAAGTTTAAGATGAACAGGAAGATCTCTGGGAACTGGTCTGCCAGCGCATGGGAGACTTTAAGACTCCTACACAGTATCCGAATGTGGGGGATTATAAGGGACGGACATGGCTGTCACCACCTGCCGCCTACCCCTCAACCGGGGGGCACTGTCATATGCGAAGGTTCTAGTGCACCTGAGCACCACGCCTGTGTACAAGAAAACTACCCATATCCAACTGGGACTCCGACCCTATGGATCGACAAGCAAGAATATGGGCAAACCCGAAGGAACGACGAACCGTCACCTCATCCCTAGCTCTACTTCTACTCATACAAGTCATATGAATGGTTAAGCATAAAGTTGAACATGTTAAGATCATAACACTCAAACTATATGCTAGTTCATATATCATGATTATAACAAGACAACTATACTCTAGTTCATATGCACTACTATATTGAAGGTATGAGAGCATGACTTTGGAAGAAATTCTCTTTGTATTCATACCAAGCTTTCTCTCTTTTCTTTCAAGGAGCCAAGCCCTCCTTGATAGCTCTTGCTAGGTCTAAACTACTACTGAGAACTAAATATTACAAGTAGAGAGGTGATCGAGGTGTGTAGCTCAAATGTTGTGTGTGTTGAAGAGAAGCACTACCCCCTTATTTATACTACCTAGAGGTCGATTTAGGGGAAGATAAAATAGGAAACTAGCCTAAACCGACCCCAGGTGTCATTAATGCACCACCTGTGCAAGGTGGGGCCAGAAGGAGGTCAGGGTGGTGCGCCCACACCTGGGCCGGCCCTCCTCGGCACCGCCTTCACACTATGGGCTGGTGGCTGGGCCTGGCCCCTTCCACGTCGGAGCTCGCCCCAGATTCTTCGTTGGAGTGGGCCTTTGCTTGGTTCTTTGATGTAGGATCTGCATTATGCTTTCTGAATTGCGCATTTTGCTTTATTTTTCACTTGTATTCAAATGTGTGCCACGCAAAACATGTTTCATCCAATACAAGTGGAACTAGGTTAATAGTAAATGCATATGTGCCAAAAGTTTGTTTATTTCTCCTGTTTTGGATAGTAATTGGTGGTCGGATTTGATCGTTAGTGACCGCCAACAAATCCCCAAAGCTTAACCTTTGCTCGTCCTGAGCAAATAGCTAAGTACTTGGTTGTTGATTAGGAGTTGCTACTATGCCGAATATATTTCATAAGTGCCATGTCTATAACAAAGTATTCTTCCGCAATTTAAATAAGTTGGCATTTTTATCCACCCTTTACCTTGATCTCTGTGGGGCGTATAGCTTTTCCAAGTTCTTAGGTCGTTACAAGATAGAACGGTTATAACAGAATCACCAATCATTCATTCTTTGATTAACCATCTATCCAGAGGTTTTATGAATTTTTGCAAAGAAATGTAAGTTCCTCAAATGATTCTCTTGATCGCTCAATGTGTATGAAACCTCACCATGGCATTTGGTATTTTTCCTTTTTTCATATCCTACCACTAGAGGCTTTTGAGTGGAGTTTTAGGTAGGTACGAAATTGAGGCATACTTACATCACATAGTTTGCTAAGTCAAAAATCGGACCTCAAGGAGAAGCAAGTCATACACTTTGATTAAGACGTGTAAGTGTGTGGAATTTTTATAACTTTCTAATTCTAAATATTTTTATACTCCTTTGAATCATGAATGTCTCTGTTTTTGAATGAATGCATTTTATTTGAAAGTATAGGCTATCTTTATTTCTTTATTTCTTTTTCCTTTCTTTTCTTCATGCTCTTTGGCATGCATTTTTTTCTCTCATGCCTTTGGCATGGGCATTTTTCTTTTCTCTCTCTTCTTTTTTCTCTTTTTTAGCATAGCCCATACAATTCTTTTTGGCACGTGAAGTTTTTGAAAGAGAGACACATGATAAAGTGAATGGAGTAATTATTTGGTGGACGAAAAAGCATATTTTTCCATAACTCTCAGTGTAAGAGTTAGTAATTTATTTGTGGATGTACGTGTGTCTTGATAATGAGTGCATGATGAGAATCTCAACAAGGGTCACAATAATTTGATAAAGCTCAATATAATAACAAGTAGCATATGAATAAGGTTTTGAATTTGAATCATGTCATATGGCCTTGCTAGGTATTCATAACCATTGAGGAACTTTTGAATTTTAACATTTTTGAAGATGAAATCTCCAGATGTTAAGTCTCTCTTAGAACAAAGTCATAGTAAATTCTATT